TCAGGGCTTTGGAGTTTCGGGATTCGGGTTTCGGGGCCTAGGGTTTAGAGCATTGGTTAAGTTGCAGGTTAATCGAAGGCTTAGGGCTGGTTTTGGGATAGAATTTAGAACTACGGAGCGTAGGTTCGCGGGTGGATTTTGGGTGTTAGACCTCTTTGTTTGTGGGTTTGGGGCCCCCAAGCCTTCAGATTGAAACCCGCGGAAGGATCTGAAAGATGATCCCCTCATTCGGGACCCTATACTACTAAAGGGTACTCTCTAGGAACCCTCCTTACGGGATCTACTTTTTGAGTCCTCCCGGGGGTCTGGGTAACGGTAACGCTTTTCAACCATGATGATACCCTGAGAGCCTGGGAATGCCACTGCACCTCCAGTTTCTCATTTTCTTTGGCTCTGCAAGCTCTTGCCGATCTGCCCTTTAAGCGCTGGACTGCACGGCCAGCCTCAAGCGCCCTAAACCCTAAAGCCCAAGTGCCCGCGTGAAACCCCCAAAGGTTCGAGGGCACCGCGTCAATAAATCCTGAATGCCACAGAACACTAATTCATCATACTTAAAGCCGAAAGAGACCTTGTTAAACCTTGTTAAGAACCCTAAAGAACCCTTGCTCAGGACACTGCGTCTTGCAGTCTCCCGCGAACTTGATGAAGGACGCGGAAACCGGCCGTTGGGCGCCTGCCGCCTCGGCCAGCTGGAAAAGGCTCTAAGGAGGCGTCGCTATTTCCCGACAAATCGAAATACCTAATAATGACATACTCTCCCAAATATTAGCCGACATACCCTAAACTCTAAACCCTCAACCCCAAAGCCCTAAACCCCTAAAACTAGCTACTATCCTAAACCCAAGTACATAATAATTGGATCCTTTGGACCCTTAGGGTTTATAGGCTGTATAGGGCTCTAGGGCTAGAGGGCTTTAGGATCCAGGACTGAAGCTTTAGTGTTTAGGGCTGGCAGCTTTTGGGGCTTTGAGTGCTTTTGTTTAAGGCTTAGGGATTTAAGGTGTGTAGGATTTAAGGCTTTCTTCTTAGGGATTTACGGCTTTTAAAGTGGGTCAAGGTATAGGGTTTTGGGTCTAGGGTACAAGACTTACATAGAGTATAGGCTTTTGGAGATGTAGGGTTTGGGGTTTATAAATTCGCTCTCAGAAGGCTTCAATTTGTGTTCACTTGAAGGCTGGAGGGAATGAGTTAGTAGATGATATTTGCGGCAAAAGTAATCTATTTGGGGCTGTCTATCCGAAATGCATTCTGTGCTCATTGCTGGCCCCCTTTCTCCCACTCTCCTGCAAAGGCTGCACGAAAGGCGTCCTCGGCCGTTTCCAAAGGCAGAAGTCTGTGGAATTTGGCCGGCTGAGGCTACTCTAGAATCAGAACTGGCCTGACACGCCGAACGGGTGCAGCGTGGGACATCAACGAGCGAAAAGTGGGAGGCCGCACTTCCGCACCTTTGGCATACTGTGGGTACTTTGTCGCCAGGTGCTCAGCGAGCACCGCCATTTCTTCCTCATCACTAAGGAAACGGCAGTGCCTCGAGTCAAGGGTTAACGCCAAGCATGCAGCAAGCCCCAAGGGGAGACCAATCAACGGACACAAGCCACGAGGGACCCCAGCATGTCCAAGGCGGCCAAGGCAGACTTCGCCTCTTCTTCGGGAAGGACCAGCTGGCTCAAATCGCTTTCAGCCACGAAAGCCTAGATTTTTTTTCTTCCTTCCGACCTCCTTAGCTTGCCTGCTGCGCCTTCAAATTCAGGGCTGCGGCTTCTTAGTGCCCAAAGATAATAAGCTCTTGTGTCATAACCTGCCTTCTTGTAGGATTTGGGGTTGCAGGAAAGGCTCAGGAAATCTTAGAACCCCGAAAACCTTAAACTCTAAACCCTAAACCTTAAACCCCAAATCCCAAACCTTAAACCCCAAACCCTAAATCCTAAACTCTGATAGTAACCTTAAGGAACCCCCCCCAAAAGTTCAGGTCTTCAGGCCTGGAGTCAACAACCAGGGATTCGGGATTCGCAGTGAGGCTTTTAGGGTTTAGGGTTTAGGGTTTAGGGGTTTAGGGTTTAGGGTTTAGGGTTTAGGGTTTAGGCCTTGTTGTTGCTACTATGACTATGAATACTGCTATTCCTGTCACTATTGCTATTAGTAGTTGATTGTTATCAGTATCATGATTGTTGCTACCATGTTTATACTTTATACTATTATTATTGACGTTTTTTGTCGCTGTTATTATTACTGTTATTCTTAGGGCTGGCTGGGCCTTCCTGCTGCAGCCTTGCTGTTTCCATGCGGCCGTGAGTCCGCCACTACCCTCTCGATTCAGGCCCAGCCCCCTATACCCAAAAAGCCCTAAACCTGGGTTTAGGGTTTAGGGTTTAGGGTTTAGGGAACCCTAAACCCTATAGTAAGGGTAGCGACTCACTGGGGCTTAGGGATTCGCAAGAAAATAGCGAGATAAAGGGCTTCCCAAACCAGGCAGTAGGGTAGTAGATCCTGAAAAACAAACCGACCGTAAAACGCCTGTGGGCCCAATATTTCAACAGCCTCCGCATGGCTCTATCGGCTTTTCTAAGGTCTCCTCAGTTCGTGGCAGGGTTCAGGGTTTGGGGGTTCTGGGTTTAGGGTTTAGGGTTTAGAGTGCCAGAATTCAGTCTTTACCCAATCCACGGTTTAGGGTTTAGGGGTTTAGGGTTTAGGGTTTAGGGGTTTAGTGTTTAGGGCGTGTGGGCAAGTCAGGTTGACAAGACGTCCAACTCCGAGTGTCACCAACGCTGGCATGCAAGTGCAGGGCAAGATCCTAACCCTAGCCTCCAACCCCATCCTGGACCTTTTGAAACTATTGAAACTTTTAGAACTATTGAAACTGTTCAATCTTCTACAACTATTGAGACCCTGCCCATACCCAAACACCGACATCCACAAAACAAGCCAAGACCGTGATATCACATGATGAGTGAGTAGGCGAATTTAGCTGCCAGTCATGGACTGAAGCTACATAGGGGTTTCCGAAAATAGGGAACCCGAATATAGTACCCTAAATAGTAGGGTCCTTATTATAAGAACCCTACATAAGGGACCCCTCATTTCGGAAACTCCTACATAGCTTTCACCTGACATTGCGAACCGTACTGTAGGGGCTAAGGCCGCGGCGCTGAAGTCTTCTGCAAATCCATGACACCATGCCGCAGGCATTGTGACATGAGGATCAATCTATCTTGGGATTGTCTTGCAGGGATCTTGCAGCGGATTAGGGGCTTAGGGATCTAGAGCTGGTCTTAAATAGAGTTCTCTGCCTGGTCTCCTCTGGCTATGTGAATCAGCAACAAACAGACCCGAGTTCACAGCGACACCTTGACAAACAGCCTGACTAGAAGTCTGTTGCTTGCGAGGATATTATTGTGGGTGCAATTTCCGCCCACCGTTATAGAGATTCCTCATATACTGGGCGCTCTGGATTGCGATGGTAATTATTTAGGCCCCTGCATTAACCCTGAGGCTAACGTGGCATCCAATGTATGTGGGAGGATCCGCCCTTCCCCCCGGAAAAGGAAGCCTTCTTTTCAAAGCTGATGGTCCAGGTTGTTACAAAACCAGTGTGCGGAAGGGGGGGGGGGTGGCAGAAAACAACACCTGGACCCTAAACCCTCAACCCTACCTCTCACAGGCATTCACGAAGCCCAAATGCGAATGAAAAAATTGCGAGAGGAGTTCACCCTTCTCTTAGTAGGGAATACGGGAATGGGTCACAGGGTTTACTGTAAGGAACCTTCAGGGAATTCATAGGGATCCTTTCCACTAGTTGGGTTTAGGGCGGTTTAGGGCTTCGGGCTTAGTTTAGGGCTCAAGAGATGCTTGGACTGGGCACGGGTACCCTAAACCTTAGACCCTAGACCTAGTAGAGTGGGCATTCCACGAATTTGGCTTTGCAGTTCGGTGATCTATTCAAGCGGAGCCTATCAGCTAAATCACACCACGCCCTTCCTGCAATCTCCATTGTTGCTTCTGCTTTGGCTCTCCAAGTTTATGGGCTATACATAGTATAGGTGGAACCGAACAATAATCGCAATAACAATAACAATGATAATGATAACCTGGAGAGGTGACCATCAAAAAGAACTACATTGAAGAGTACAGAGCGACCCAGAGCCTCCAAAACACCATAATTCAAGAATATTCCTTAAGGTATAGTAGGATCCAGAATCTGATTTAGGATAGTCTCAATGATATTATGAATCCTACTATACCTTCAAGGTCTGCCTAAACCCTAAACTAAACCCTAAACCCTAAAACCTACACCCTCAAGTATTTAAGGTCTATTCCTTGCTCAAAGGGTTTTGGAGGCGCTGGGGACCCTGTCTCCGACCTAAATACCACCAGAAGCAGCGGTATCGAGCCCGATACTCTAGGGGCCTTGATGATTAGAATAGGACGTTGGGGGTACATTAGGGCTCCGCTACAGGGTTCTATGAGGGTGTCTATAAGGGTTTGGTATAGGGGCCTTAATGGCTAAAATAGGGTTTTGGGCTCCTGCAAAATGTGATCATAGTCAGGAACCCTAAACCCTAAACCCTAAACCCTAAACCCTAAACCCCTAAACCCTAAACCCTAAACCCTAAACCCTAAGGAATGATATTTGCAGTTATTTAAGCTTCTATTGTAAATATCTTTCGTCCTTGTAAAGCCCTTATTGAAGCTCCGAGGAACCTGCCCCAAAAACCAGAAACTGAAGCGCACAAACAGTCCTTAGCCCTTTGAGTTTGAGAACTTTCGAACCCTCAAGGAACCCATGTAGGGCCCGTAAATGAAGGAGCCCACTCCCCTCTTCCCGACTCAGTGGCAGGGAGCCAAGGCAGTTGGAGTTTAGGGTTTAGGGCGGTTCAGGGTTTAGAGACCCCAAAACCCTAAACCCCAAAACCCAAAACCCCAAACCCCAACCCCCTAAACCCCAAAACCCCAAAACCCGAAAACCCTAAACCCATAAGGACCAGCCCCCTGGGCTCCCTTGCGTGCATCAGCCAGATCGGCCAGAAGAAGGTCTCGGCAAGCACTTGGAGGCCGTGGGCCTCGCAGCATTCCTAAACCCTAAACCCTAAACCCTAAACCCTAAACCCTCTATACCCTCAGCTCTAGACCTCTCAATCCCCAGAACCCTAAACCCAACGCTTAGGGTTTAGGGGTTTAGGGGTTTAGGGTTTAGGGTTGAGGGTTTAGGGCCTAAACCCCAGAACCCTAAACCCTAAACTCTAAACCCCAAAAAACCCAAAGCCCCAAAAAACTTCAGAGCCCTAAAACCCTAAAAGAGGGGCAAGGAAAGGATTCATCAGGCGCAGACTTAGGTCCTTTAATGACTCTATGGGCTTCGAAAAGGGCTCGTTGAGGGCTACGAGTTCCGTCAGCATTCTAGAAGGATTCTTCTAGCGTTGGTGTAGAATATTTGGGGTATGGAGAGGTTTAGGGTGGGGGGAATCTTGCCTATACTCTAGGTATTTATGGCTTAGGGCTTAAGCTTCGCATCCTCTCTCAAACCTACCCGAAAACAGTCAACACCCAAACCCCAGCCCCGAAATGACTAAACATAGAAACCTCGCAAATCTCAATTCTCCAACAACGACAACCCTAATTGCTAAACACGTTGAAAGCGATGTGCCTCCGGATAAAACGCCACCCGTGGGGGTCGTCTGAGGCCGCCATAGCCACGGTAGCGTCCGCGGACTTCGCCCTCGGCGCCCTCGAGGAAATTCGTCGGGTTTAGGATTTCAAGTGTTTTGGGCATAGGGGTGCAGGGTTTAGGGCTAATGGCTTTGGAGGGAGCCTGGGGTTGGGTTTTTCTTTTGAAAAATGCGGACAATGAGGGTTTGTCTTGTATGGGTTTGTGGCCGTTCTGGCTTCACAGGAGCAGAGGCGATATAGTATAGGAGCCTTCTTCATTCGCAGAGGGTTTTGGAATACACTCTCGTACAAGTGTAGAAGGAGTTTTACGGGGATAGTATGAACCTTACACCCTAAACCCTAAATTCCGAAACCCAAAACCCCTAAACCCTGTAGTACCCCTTCCCTGCCTGTGACAACTTCTCCACGGCGCCAAGCAGGCCCTCCATGGGCCTTCCAGTATGGTGAGTGCTTCGGGTCTCACTGTTAAGGCCCTTTTGCAGCCTTATGGAAAACCTTACAGAACCGTTTAAAGGAAGCCTTATAGACCTCTTTAAAATAAGCCCTGATATACACCCAAACGCTATTCTACTTATTCAGGCCCCTCTGCCAAACCTTATAGAACCCTTGAGAGGAACCCTTATAGACCCCTTTGAAGGAGCCCTGATATACCCCCAAACCCTATTGTAAATTATGAAGGCTCTGTATAGTCCCTTCAAGGAACTCCTCCCCATCGCCGGGAGCTCCGAGTGCCCCCCCAACACAAATTAGCAGCTGGAATGGGTTTAGGGTTTTAGGGTTTAGGTAAGGGTTTAGGGTTGAATATTTGCTGCGGCTTGCATGGAACAACTCCAACATTTCCGGAAGGAAGCGTCACAATCGAAGCCTCATAACATTTACACAAGGCCCTTCAAACCTATCTTAGAGCCCACATGCACCGCGCTGGAACATACCCGTGCTGTCAGGTAGGCCTCAACCCCGAGACCCCAGACCCTAAACCTTAAACCTGCAGCTCTACCCTAAACACTGAACCTAAAACCCCCAAACCCTCAAACTCCACCCCCCGGCCCCTCCCTGTCCTCACCACAGCACTGGCTGCACCCAGGGCTACGCCGCTCGCCAGACCAACGAGGCCGTCCTTCTCACATTTATTACGAGGGTTTTTAGAATTAGAATCGGACCGTAAACTCGAAACCCTAGACCATAAATCCCAAACCCTAAACCCTAGACCCTAAACCCAAAACCCTAGACCCTAAACCCTAGACCCTAAACACTAAACCCTAGACCCTAAACCCTAGACCCTAAACCCTAAACTGGTTTAGGGTTTAAGGGTTTGAGGTTTAGAGTTTCGGGGTAGGGCACCGGGGGCCTTAGGAGTTCGGATCGGGCTTAGGAGGGCTAGGGTTTGGGGATCCGTAACGGGCTTGGGTCTAGGGTTTAGGGTACTGATGCCTGTAGAGTTTTACAAAGGTTCAACAGGTTTAGTATGGAGGCTTTGAAATTGGAGGGCGGTTCCTTTTTTTACGGGCTCAGAAAGGGTCGAGGAGGCTTCTGCAAAAAGGCTGCTAGGGTTTACTTCATCATTAGAATAACGGTTGTAAACTACGGTACGAGCGAGTGGGTGGGCGAACTGCATTGGAGGGTCTTCGCCCAGCTGATAAAGGGTTCGACTAGGGCTACTAGTCGGGTCTATGACAGCAGACTATGATTAGGGGAAGACTGTAGTGTAACTAGAGTCAAGAACCCCGAAACCTACCTTCGTAATGCAGGGGCCTTAATAATTAG